GCCTGAAACCACAAAGAGTGGGGGAGCTCTTACTGGGCTCCCAGCGCCAGAACGCAGCCTGGTCCAGCGCTTGAGGTTGCGGGGTGTAGGCTTTAGGGATGTTTAGGGGTTTAGGGTTTAGGGTTTAGGGTGTAGGCTTTAGGGATGTTTAGGGGTTTCGGGGGATGGGGACTCCATGTTTAGAGGTTTCACAGGTCGAGCTGAGGAGTTCCAGTCCAACATGCGCGTTTCGTGCGTTTGCACCTTGGGGCTCGGAATTGCAGAGCATTTTGAAATCATGCCCGAAGGAGGGCTTTTGGCTTACTTCTTAAGGGCGTTTCTCGAGACGTCGATGCTTGGCACAAATCGGCGATGTTCGATCCAGTCTTATGTTGCCGACAGCATTCTGGCCACGAGTACTTCTTATAATTGCGATTGTACAGCTACAACAATGAGCATGCTTGCACTGGCTACGACTGGCTGGCCATTGGACAAGCACAGTTACCACGCCAAGATGACGATCTGCCCTGACCTTGTGACCAACACCACTAATTTAAATGGCTACTCTGACTTCTTTTGGCATTACTGCCGCAATGCTCAACGACCATGAACGGAGCACTGGAAACTCAAGCACCCTGAGTGCCGAATTCTAAACCCATCAACCCGAAACCAGGAAACCCAAAAAATGAAATCTACACCACAAAATTTGAGCCTCAAGCCCCATCTTCAACACTCCTACACTCCAAGCCCTAGATTCTTAACCCCAACCCTGAACATCCTGAACGCCCTTATAAGCCCGAAAAGGCTCAAAAAAACACCGAGATCGCACCATGGCCTTGCCAGGGGTTCTGCGAGAGTCGTCGGCAGAGGTCGAAGCTCCGACTCCTACGAAGGCTGGAGCTTGGCTCTTCCCTGTTCTTTTTTGTTAAGCCTCTTTTCCGTCCGCATTACCAGGCTTCCGTGTTTTAGTGTTTTCAAGGTTTGGGGGCTTGGAGGGTGTCAGGTTTGGGTAGGTGAGGTATTTGGGCTTTTCAGGCAGACGGTCTGGAGTACCTCTCGTTGTGGTCAGGCCAACAACGTGGGCAGAGTATTGAAAAACTGCCTCGGTGTAGGAAGGCAGGTGCTATCTAGAAGGGCTTCTGCTCCTGCTGTCGTTGCTTGAAGGCCTGCACGCATCGCAGGAGAAGCACCTGTGTTTGCAAGCTTGTGCAGTGCTTTGGAAGAAACAGAGGCTAAACCTGGGCTCCAGGAAACTTAGGTCCATACCCTTTCTTGCTTGATCTCCTTCACCAGCAGAGCCGTGATGCCTTGGTACAGACAGCGGACTGAGGGTGACTTCATGTGGAAGAGCTACTTCTCGGTAGGTGAGACAGGCCCCAAAGACTCCAAAGGGTCGAACACTCTAGGCGCACCAGTGGATTGGGATTTGCGGATATAGTCTGCTGTAGCCATCTAGGGACTACAGGGGATATAGACAGAAAACGCACACTTTCTGAGCTGAGATCCGGTCCACTCGCTCCCGTGGCGTCCACCTCTGACGCCCCAAGCTGTGGTGGTGCATCCAACATGGACAGCAGCTGGCCGCAAGCCTTCAAGGACTTTTCACAGGTCGGCATTGGGGTTTAAGTTTGGGTTTGGATTTGGGAGGGTCCCTCTTGCACTGCTGGCTGTGGTCTGGCTAGCAAGCAGCCTCTTCAACCGCCTTGTAGATGTAGCGGTCCTTTCAGGGCTCTAGGTCTCGTCTGTGTCTCGTGAAGGTCATGAGTACTTACTTGGCGACTGCATGTCTAACCACTGCGATGGTTGGCAAAATCGAGACAGGCTCACGTCTTCGGACATGCACGTACATCGTACAAGTACATGCATGTGCATGGCAGGCACACAGATCTGCTACTGCTGCTACGCTGCAAAAATCCCGCCGAGTCCTCTCGGAGCTGCTCGTGGGGCTGAAGCTCTCCAAACTGCTCCTTCAGGGGCTTCGGGCTTCTTGGGGCTTCGGGCTTAGGGCCTAGGGTTTAGGGGGGCTTCAGGGCAAAGGCGGCCTGGGGCGGTCCAGCCCAGGATGCTCGGGTTTGAGGTGCCGGGTTTCGGGTCGTCGAAGCTTAAGAGTTTCGGGTTTGGAATGTTGCGTCTGTGACGCATCCGGGCGAGGATGGACCTAAACCCGCGGATCAGTGTCCCGGGACCCTCGAGTCGTGACCCAAAAGAATGGAAATATAGAAGCGAACAATCCGAAAGACCACATCTCCTGGAAGGAGAGGTAGCGGGCCTCGACGCAACCAGGGTGCTCGAGGGTTGGGACACGCGAGAAGCTCTGACTCCTACAGCTCGAAAGAGGAAGTGGCTACTTTGGATCTGTGATTTCTTTGTAGACAGGGAGTGCGGGAAACAGATGTATTCTTTACAGTCTATGGTTTTCGAAAGCATCGCTGAGCCTGTCTATGACAGTCGATGATGGAGTTGTCAATGACGTCTGGCGAGTCATATCGCAGGATGTAGGCGGGACAGTGCACCTGCGTGGGAAATGAAGCTCACGTGCACAGTGCAAGCTTACAGCATCCTCAGTGCTCGAGCTGGAGGCCAAGGCAGCAATTCTCTGTAGAACCGAGATGAGGTTACATGTACCCATACCCTAAACCCTGAACCGTTACACCCCAAACCCTGTAAAGTCCCACACCCTGAACCCACAGCCCTTCGTCTTAGTCATTAGCTACAGCAGAACGGTCTTGCAGCAGGCACAGTTCTTTTCGCTCACGGCGGACGTACCCATGAAGCTTTGAATTCCACATTATCGGGGGGCAGACAGCTTCCTGCGCCAATAAATGCTGCTGCAGCTCCGAACAAGCCTCTCAAGAATAGAATGAAGTGCAGGTGACGTTGGCACGTACGCGGAGCCACAATCCAAGGAACGACTTCCCGAAGGCCTGCGAATCCAGTCCTACGTACGAACTGATCCCTTCGATATCCGTCAACCCAAACAAAGTTGAAGCCATGCAGCGTAAAACCTTGCGGTGCACATCCTATCGTGCTGCACGATGCCACCTAACAGAGATAGGCAGGCTGACGGGAGCTAACTAAGAAGAAAAGTGGCTGCTCCCATGGGGGTTTGGCGCTTGGACGGCTTCGGTGTCTAGGGGTTAAGTACCACAAAAGTCCGCTCTTATGAAAGCCGCCGAAGAAGCACTGAGACCCAACAACCATGAGCGAAGCCACTGGGACCCACCCTCACATGGGCGGGCACAATCGCGCTGGGAGAGCACCTGGATTGCCAGAATGCTTGGGTTCGTTAGCCTCTGAGACTCTATACAGTTTAAAACAAGGGCTGCCGCTTGACAGTACCAGAATGTAGAAACGGGCAGGAACACTGCTGTGCTTGTCTGCTCCTTTCCTGTGACCCTTGAACTTCAAGCCCCTCAACCCTCAAATCGCGAATGAACTGTCCGAACACACCTACCAAGCTGTCAGCCCTGCGATTCAGCGAGTGTCTAAGCTGTGCCGCGCACCGTCTGCCAAAAGCCGCAGCATGTCTGGCCCCTTTGAAAGTGGCCTCCCAGCTTCCAGGATCTTCCAGGATTGCATGTGCTGACAGCAAGCATCTCTGCTGTAAGGCTGTAAGGATTCGGAAAGAAGCCGAAGAGACGTATCGATGAAGAGCGCTGCTTGATTCTACCAGGATGCCGTTTTCAACACCACACCTTCGCGCCCGACTGCTCTCAAGTCCCAGCTACTAAAAGTTCAAGTTTTCGACTGAAAAGCCGGACTCGTCGCCCGCCGTGCATGCACTAGGTTGAGTGAATGCCGTACGACAGGGCAGTCGACTTCGAAGACCAAGACAGGAGTGCCGAGCATGGGGCACTGAAACCAGAAAGCCCGGACTCTGCGCTCCAACCTACGACTATATCTTGAGGTCCTGCTGAACAAGCTCCACGATATCGAAGACCCCAGGGAACTTGTCACAAAGATCCGCCACATTGAAGCCCTTGCCCCCTTGACCCTTGACTCTTAATATCCCCGAAGTCCAAATCGTAGACATCGCTGATAAGTCTTTACCCACTTGCAAACGCCCCGAAGCCTGAACCCTGCCGCATAGGCGAAATCCCTAGATGGCCTCAGCTTTGGGGGCCGCCTGCCAGCTGCTCCAGTGGCAGGGGGAAGCTGCGGTGTCTCAGCGAGGAGTGCAATGCTGCACTGAAGCTGGCTTGAGGCTTAAGGTCTCGACCTCCTAGGGCTGCTGCTTTCGGATTTAAGGGCGTTTGTGCTTGGTGTTTCGTCAACTGTTTCTGAATGCATGAGTCCGAAAGCCTAGAAGCCTAGACCGCTAGGTGTCTGCCCATCCCTTCATAAGCTCAGCACTCACCGGCAATGTCCCACACACCGCGCCGGCCACTTTGCAGGATCACCAGTTGGATTTGGGGGGTCGGGGGGGGCTTGAGGCTCTTCGAGGGCGAAGGCCTCCCAAGGTCCCTCGGAAGCCGCAGAATCGGCTCCTCTCTCGGTTTAGGGTTTAGGGTTTAGGGTCCAGGAGCTTCGGGGGCTCGACGGGCGGAGGTCTCTGGCTTCTTGGGCTCAGAGAGCAAGGCACCCACCCAGGAGATGCTGGGGCTCCTGCACTTTTCGACTCCAAGGGCCTGCTCTTCTTCGAGATGCCCTTGTGAGGTGAGACAGCGGCCTGCGACAGCAATCGCCCTGTTCACGCAACTGTGACTCGCTCCCACGTTCCGGGTGTTCTTACATTAAATGAACTGTCTCTGACCGGCGACTCCTGGGATTCGAAGACTGCCTAGGTCCGTCCGCGCCCGTGCTGCCTTTGCGCCCTTTGTAACGTCCACCGGCATGCTCTGATAGGTTGCCTTGGGCGGGAGGCTTTGGAGAAGTGCTTGGGTTCGAAACCCGCTAGACTCCACAAGGAACAACAAACGGCTACCCGACAACACCACGACTCTGAACCACGAACCTGAAGCGATCCCGCCCTGATCACATGGATAGGCCACGCTGTGCTCAGAGACTTCAGGGGTGCTTTTTTAAGATAACTTAGGGCTCCAATTTGGGGTCATGAGACTTTGGTTGTGGCTGGAGACAGGAAAGAGTTGCCCTCTGAGGTCTCGGGCTCGTTGCCGCACGAACCGCCGCTCCTGCCAGGGTTTCCCCCAGTCGCTCCACTCACGAAGCAATCCCGTGGCAGCTTGAGTACATCGGTACTGCAACACGGGGAACTCATGGGACGTGGACTCCGAAGGCTACATGGCCATCACAAAGATGCAAAGAGGGACCTGGAGAACAGGATCTGTGTGGAGTCGGACCTCCTGCAGCAAAACCAGGGTCGATCGAGACTCCGAAAGCAATGGCAAGTCGGAATCTACGCCTCGCCCTGCAAGTCGATGTCCACAGCTGCCCTGCGGAAATCCGGCGTGGGAGTTTTGAGAAGCAGAGATCGAGCGCTTGCGCCTTTTGTAGTTCTGGTACACAGTCGGAGGGCTGATGACCCTGTGCGGTTGGAGACCCGACGTCTAAAGCTTGGCAACACAGCCTGAGCTGTGGGCTGCGACCAGCAACCTGCCTATGGTAGTTCAAGCGTAGCACACGCTTGGTCTCATCTGCCACCTGGAGCCAGAAGCTACTGAGGAAGCTTGGAAGCATGAAAAGTGTACCTTTTGAAAGCGGTCTAGCCTTGTTCGGATCGAGAGATATAGCCGGCAAGCTAGAGACCTTGGATCACAACGAAGTCGAGACGGTGCGAGAATGACTGCACGGTGCCCGGCGGTGGCCAGCTTTGTGCACGGCCGTCGATCGACACCAGCCTCAGAAGAGCAAAACATGCAGAGGCACAATATCTTAACAGACTTTACCAACCACAACGCAATGAAGCAAAGGTAAGGCCCACCTCGATGGCTGCGCTTTGTTGCTCATATTGCTCAATCAGGCCTGCAGGGCTTCGAGTTTCAAGGAGGCAACGCCAAAGCGCCTACCTGTAGCCACCAAGTCAGTCTTCTTGTATACCCGAATCCCTTTTGTGGGGGGGGGGGGCGCTAGTTCCCTCCATACTTGGGCACGCTGTCTAGCAGTCGAGTCTAAAGATAAGATGCACTGCATTGCGCTGCAGCAGAACCACGCGCCTGTGTTTATCAGACGGCGCTGGCAAGCTGCTGCCAGTCCTTCCAAGGTTGAATACTTCGAGTTGCCGTCGCGACCACAACCATCACATGCCATTACCAACATCATCGTCGACTCTGCCATCATCACGGCGACAATCCTCATCACCATCAAGATCATCCTCATCATCGGCATCGTCAATTCAGAGACACCTACCCACGACAGGGCATCTCCTGATCCAGCTGGCGGTCTCACCGCCACAGGCCTGGATTCCGGCGGGAAAACGTCCTGCACGCGAAGATCTCCAACAAGGTCACAACGATAACCCGGTGCAATGTTTCCACAAGCAAACATATGAGTGTTTCTTGTTCTTCTCCGGCGCTGCTTTGGCACTATGTCTGCTTCAATGTGGAATGTTAGTTCTAGTCTGTAACATCCAGGCAGCTCTAGATCAACAGAAACAAGTTTGAAAGTTCTGCCAGCACTTGGCCTAGCCTCTCCTCCGGCTTCTCTGTTGATCAACAAACCTGGTTTGCTGCAAAAGAGGTACGAAAGCCTGCCGAAATCACGCAAGCCGAATAGAGATTCCAAACAGATAGGCCTTAGCTGCTAGCACTCTTTGTTAGTCAGGGACCCTACGGCCCTACAGTTTCGAAAACCGTGGGATGACGGTCAGAAGCTTCTTTGGCCTTCGGAACTTGGCGTGAATCTCCTGAGATTTTCACAACCAAACGATTCCGATATACGAGCATGGCTTCCCCGCTGTCGCCGAGGGTGTTATACGTTGTTGTCCCAGACATGCCGTCGCACCGCTTCCTGTGTCGACGGTTTTACCGTCGTCGGTACGGTTGTTGAGAGGATGCTTGCCAGCTTCTGCGCTTGTCAGGACTATCGTGCGCAACTTGCGCGACACCAACTTCATCAGAAGCATCTTGTCGCGGCATTGCGCCACTACATATAGAAGCAAGTGCAGCAACAGAATGCCATCCTTCGTCTTCGCGGAAGAGCCAAACCAACATAATATAAGTGGGCAGTTTTGAACGGACCTGGGCCACGAATCTGTGTTGTCATGATGTGCTCCGTCCAACATACATGCCGTCTGGCAAGTCCTGCCTCGGAAGTCTCGGCCCCGTTTCCAATGTACAGGGTGCCGTGGGTATTTCAAGTTAAGAACAGCTACAGAGTCTAGGCTTAACGACAGCTATTGCATGAACCACTGAGTCCATAAGTTGCCAACCCACCTGACTACGATGGAACTACTCTCGGCAGGCCTCTTCCAGCTCTTCGGACTGCTGTCCTGCAGCAATGGTGCTGGCTGCACTGCTGCCGTCTCCACCAGTGCAATGCTCTGCTAATAAGCTTACTTGCAACGTAAAGTTTGAGGTTTGTGGCATACAGTGGGAAGGCTGTGGCAGCCTTCACCGTTGGCAT